TTAAATCATCATGTTTGCCTTATATTTCCTGTTGCCATTACAAATTTACCTCCCACCTTTTCCTCATTGGCTTAGTATTCATGCCGTCACAACCTATCCCAAGCATCTAAAGTTAGCACATTATCTCTGCCCCTGATTACACCTCCCATTACTCTAATTCTATCACCCCCCTGCCCTTATTTACAAATCACCTTTTATGGGTCCTAGCTCCTAGGGGGTTGTCTCTAGAGTAACTATCCCTATCAGCAAATTCTGCTTAATGCCGGTTTGTAGCACAGCACAGGCCTTCCTGCACCCAATTCTCAAGCTGCAGCCTAGCTCATGAGATTAGAAATATATACAATGTTTTTTTCTACACTGGCCAGCATGTCTTCTTACAGTCTCTGTTAAAAACAATACGCTCTGTTTCCCGCAAATAGGGTAAGTAATAGGAATGGGATGGAATAGAATAACAGAGTTGAAAGGGAACTCGGAGGTCATCTAGTCCAACCCCCTGCTCAGCACAATTTGATAAAGTATTTCTTACCATTATTTGATTCTTCTTCAAAAAGTGCACCTCCTTTTCTAGACTTGGGGACGGCCCAGTCTGAGGTAGGCATTGACATAACGTGCTAAAGCAGCACAGATCGAAAGCCTCCTAGCTGCATATTGAATAGGAAGGATGCTAAACTTGTGTAATCTGGATCCATTAATTCGGTGGTTTCATCAGATGCAGCCTCCAGGCCTCTTTACTTAGTCTGTGTAGTGCAATATTTTTTTCAACGTAGCTAGCTTTAAGATGTGCCATGGGAGTTGGAAGTCCAGATATCTTAAAAGCCGCCAGGCTGATGTGTAGCGTATAAAAACCTACAATTAGCTTCAGTAAGTCGTGTGATATTCAAAGCCTTCTAGATTAATTGCAAAGGAATTGCATTCTCGGATCATGGTTTGCTGAACAAATAGTTGGAAGAACTATCCACCAGGTTCAGTTCCAAACTGGGAGAAAAGCACTGGAAACATGCAGGCTGATTGGAAAAAGATGGTTTATTGATGAAGAACCACACGTGATTCTGGGCAACTGACAAAATGAAGTTGAGAGTGGGTTTTTCTTTTATATGCCTTCTTTGGGCTCTGTATTTGAGCTTCCTGTTCTAGAACATGTCCTTTAATATTCTATTGGCTGTTGTCAGATTCCTATGGGGTCATGTAGGAGTTACGCAGGGGTCACAGCTGGCTCTATAGGCAAAAGAGGAAATGCAAATCTTAGGTGCTTCTCTGAACTAATCTGGTCAACCTCTGGCTTCTTGAGTGAGTGGCTGCTTCTAATCCTACCTGTAGTGTATTCAAATAGAGACTTCTAAGACTAAATTCCTATTGGTTAGTTAATGCAACATAACGATTGGTTAATGATGACAGTTTCGGATTGGCCGCCTAAGCGGCGGGAAGTTTAAATAAATGCCATTGGTTGCGAGCCGCTAGCAGCCGCTATAAAAAGGGCTGCCGCGGCTCGACTTTAGTTGAAGTTACTGGTTACTAATAAAGAGCTGAATTCAACTCCGGTCTTCGAGTCTCTTTTGTCTGGCGACAGAACACTACCACTCTGCCTTTGTTCAGACTTTGCTGCAGGGGAGTTTCAAAATATCCTGTCTTGAATGGATTTCTGCCTGCAGCATTTGCTTTGCTTATGAATAGAGCTCTCCAGATACTTGTCTTCCTCTTTCAATAAGCTCTTTAACTCTTAAGTGCTGGCATTAGCTGTGGGCTATTAAGAAAGACTTGGAGGCTGCTTTCTGCCTCTAAAAACATGTTTTTCCATTTGGGGTAATATAATATTCTGCCTTTTTAATATTCCCTAAAATATTTCATTCTTGTTTTGGGGGGGGGGAGGGCTTCCCATAAAACCCACATGAACTACTAGTTCTTGCTTATTCCTAAAACATACATGGAAAAATTCAAAAGCGCTGTCCCCCCCCCCGCAAGCTGAATCTAATCCAGATGAACTTCAAAATAAATTCAAAATAAAAACCCTGCTAGAAGAAGAGGTGATAAAAAAATAATGGAACGTGCAGAAATGAGTAGATTGACATTGGCAATTAGAGAGCAAGAAGAAAAAGAATATTATAAAATATGGGATTTATTTTATCAATGGCTAGATAAGAAAATAGACAAATAAAATATACTATAATATAGATATAATAGTAAAGATGATACATTGTAATGATATATTTGATTCTTGTGAAATATTATGAACTAGACATTGTAAAAATTGAGATTCGCTCAAAAAGGATATGAATTTACAATCAAAGTCTAATAATGGTTTGATAACAATATAATATGATGTGGATAGCTGATTTATATAATATGAATTTTAATTTAAGTTTAGGAGGGATGGACTGTTAATATTGTGCACAAGAGATGTGTACCAACCGACACACTGAAAGACGGTTTTATCGGATGTTTTGTGTTTGTGTTTGTCTATGTTTGTCATCAAAATAAAACAAATTCTTTAAAAACAAAATTCAAAATAAGGCAATTTCTCCTGATGAAGATGAAGCAAAAATCACGCTGTGAAAAAAAAGGATGCAAAGTAGGTTTGGTTTAAAATGACGGGGTTTATTTGCACCCCATGGCCAGAGAGCTTAATATGCGGCAGGTGGATAACTAAGGATGAATAACCCAAGGGATTTGGATTTAATGCCCAGATTTAATAACCCTGTTGGAAAGAGTTAAAAGTTGCCTTTTGCAAATCAATGCCCTGCCCTGCCCTCTCAGCCTCCAAAAAATGAGCCGGAGGGAAAGAGCGCCTTGGGAAGGCAAGCCCCTCTAGCACAGAACTCACTGCCCCAGCAGCTCCGGCCCAGCGGAAGCCCCCCAAGCCCCGATTGGCTGTTAAGGCCAGGCCCTGCCCACTCCTACGTGCGCCGCCAATGAGAACGGGAGCTGATCAAGCGCTGCCCGGCCTCTTCCGGCCAAAAGGGCCGCAATGTGGGAAAGGTTGGGTTGAGGGCGGCCAGCGTTAACCTTAATAATAATTTACAATAATAATAATACTTAATAAAACCTTTTCATAAATTTTTATTATTTGAACCAATAAACAGAGCGGAAGCCTGCATATATGAAAGCGGCTAAGGTCGAGTAAACGCCGAACGAAGCCTGCTAAGGAAGCGGGAAGCCAACGCCTCAAACTGAGGGAGTCGCGGCCTCCGTCGCCTCAGCCGCAAGGCGGGCTCTTAGCAACGGCGCCGAGCCCCGCCCTCCTAAAAGGGGCGCGTCCTCCGTCGTCCTCCGACGCTTCTTCCTCTTCCGTTTCCCCCTCCAGCGGGTGACGTCAGGGAGCCTGCCGGCCTGCGCGTGACGTCAGATCCCGGGCGAGGCGGGCGGGGCCGGGCGGAACGGCAGAGCCGCTGAGGTAACGGGAGGCGCGGGCGGGCGAGGCGAGGCGAGGCGAGAGGCCCCAAACCGAGGCGGGGGCTCCCCCGCTCGGCCTTTCCCCCTTCCCCCGCCTTGGCCTAGGGCCGAGGGCTGCGGGGTTTCATGCCCATTGCGCACCCCCCCACTCGCCTCGTGGGGTGGGGGTGGGGGAAAGAGAGGGTCTG